CATCCTAACTTAACACCCGCCAGGTAGCGTTACTGTGTTTAACCATTCGGTAAAATAAGGTACAGGCTAATCTTCAGGTGATCTTGACTAATCCCATTATATTAACTAACCTAATTATGCAATAGATTTATCCTTATCGAAGGTAATGCACAAACATGTGTGGTCATAAACAAGTGTGGTCATAAACAGGTGTGGTCATAAACAGGTGTGGTCATAAACAGGTGTGGTCATAAACAGGTGTGGTCATAAACAGGTGTGGTCATAAACAAGTGTGGTCATAAACAAGTGTGGTCATAAACAAGTGTGGTCATAAACAGGTGTGGTCATAAACAGGTGTGGTCATAAACAGACGTGGTCATAAAACAGGTGTGGTCATAAACAGGTGTGGTCATAAACAGGTGTGGTCATAAACAGGTGTGGTCATTAACAGGTGTGGTCATAAACAGGTATGGTCATAATAGGTAACAGATATTGTGCTAACAGGTAACAGGTATGGTAATAACAGGTAACAGATGTGGTGTGTCTCCTTACAGAGTTGGGACAGAGGTTTAAATTGACGGAACTGGACAAGAAGCGACTTGCCGTGACCTACAGCTGCCACATCTGCGACTCCTCTGAGCATGGTGGGTCAACCTGGGTGATCCGACCTTCTTATTTTAATTTAGGCTTTTACAGCATCACTTGAAGATTTGCTCCCCAAGCTTATTTTATCTGATGATTAAATATCCTAACATTAAGCTTATCTCACCGTACCTAACCTACATTTACCTAATCTTATCGAACCTAACTTAACGTAGCGTAAAGTAACCTAACCTAAATTTACCTAATTTAATTAAAGCTAACGCGTTTCAATATAATTAACTTTAACTTAACCTAGCTTAACTTAACGTAACCCAACCTAACCTACCTTTAACCTTAGGCTAATCTTCATGTGAACCCTTACTTTCTTTTTTATGTGTTTTGTATTAGTTATTTATTCTCGTGATATAAGATGTTAGAATCCTCCATCCTACGTGTCTAGGCTAACAAAATACTTGGATTCATGCAAAGGAGTGTTAGTTACAAGACTAGCGAGGTCATCCTAAAAACTATAGCTTATGCCTGTGAGACCTCACCTAGATTACACAGTTCAGTTCTGGTCACCGCACTAAAGAATGGATATAGAATCCCTTGAAAGAATTCAGTGAATGACAAGACTATTCCCGGCCATTAGGAACCTTGAGTACAGAGACAGGTTGAAGCATCTTAATTTGCATTCCCTCAAGAGACGTAGAGTGAAGAGCGATATGATCGAGGTGTATAAATGGAAGGTAGTAGTTAAAAGGCAGCTATCAAACAGGGAGGTACTGGGAAGATATTGAAAGCATAATGTATTGTCTAAAGGTTGACCCAGCTGCCATCTGGCTTCACAAACATTGTGACCAAGTCCCAGGTTGCTGATCTGACTGCAGGGTCTCAATAGTCTCTCCTACTATTGACAACACAACATATATAACTTTTCTCACTCCTGATTTATTTTATTCTTTCTATTCTTTTATTCTCCTATGAAATCAGTTGACAATAATATTAAATCGGGGCCTTCTCGGATGGGTCCCACTGGTCGGGAAGGTTGTGGACCCCAGGGCCGACCTGATCATCATCAAGTTACTGGGACCTCAACTGACGCCACCGAGATTACTGGAGGATTGGCTTTTTTCCAATATTCGCGGCCTGAGATCCAATTTTTCTTCTGTGGAGCACCATTTAGTAACCTCTTCCCCCAACGTCTTACTATTATCTGAACTTCAACTGATCAAAACAGCTTCACCCAAACCTTTTCAAGTCTCCAACTACAACCTTTATACCTCCTTCCATTCTAAGGGAGGTGTATGCGCCTCCTGCAACACACGTACACCGATAGCTCGACTCATGGATCTTGAATCTTCTCTTTATGATGTCATCTGGCTCTAAATATCTCTTACCAACTCTGACTATTTTTCTTTGTTTCCTATACTGTTCTCCCAACTCTACCAACTATTTGGAACTTGAACTATCTCACTTCTTGCTATGAGTCGTTGCTATCCACACACCCCAACACCGAGATCCTCTACCTGGGGATTTCAATGTACATCACAGAGAGTGGCTTGGCTCTGCAAGGGATGACCCAGGTGGAGCTGAGGCTCTATTTTTCCTTACTTAATGATCTGGAACAAATAATTAAAGACCCTACACGCATTCCTGATCGACACGATCAACTTGCTAACATTCTTGATCTTTGTTTTACCTCTAACCCCTCACACTATTCATACTTAATCTTATTTCTATTAAATGAAACTGGGCACGACCACCTCACCACCTCCTACTAAACACCAACTATGGCACTATCGGAGGGCAAACTGGCAATCATTGCGAGAATTCTTCTTGGACTTTCTTTTGGATGAATGTTGCTTTTTCCACTCGGGATGCCTCGGTATGTGCTGACAGCATTGCTGGGGTTATACAGGGCGGTATGAGTGTATTTATAAATCTTCTACCAAAACTTTCACTTTACAATCATGGTTTGATCGCCCCTGCTCTCTTGCTTGTAGGGTGAGAGATAGGGCATATCGAGCTATGAAACTATCTCCTCCTATTACCCATTCCTCTTTCATTACTTCTAGGAATCATTGTGAGGCTATTCTTCGTAGGGCCAAGCGGAATTTTATAAAAACAAAGACTAATGACCTGACTAACTCTTCCTCCAGTAAATCCTTCTGGTCCTTAGCCAAAAACATGTGTAATAACCTCTGCACTCCTTCTTTTCCTCCTCTCTTCCGACCCGATAACTCTATAGCCAACTCTCCCCCTGATAAAGCCAAGCCAATCTCTTTGGCACCTTATTCTCCTCCAACTCCACCTTAGACGATTCCCACTCTATCCCTCCTACTCCTACTGAATCTATGCACTTTCCTGTAATCTCCACTCATAGGGTTGCTGGCGTGTTATCCAGGTTGGATAACGAGATGGGCCAGAGTACCAAGTATAATTAATGATAACTTAACTAATGGAAAATTAATTACAAGTACTCTCTCATAATGACGTTTATCATCCACTGAAAGAAGGAAAATATTGAACTGTAGAGAATTATGGACTGCCTGGTTACCATTAAACTGACAATTCTTCCCCGTGTGTTTTCATGGCATAATGACCGAATTAAAATGACAACTTATTGGATGTTTTGTGATTATCATACGGCGTAACGCTATCATATAATTTCCCCATATAACATATACTACTGACCAGAAGTTATAATATAGGGTACTTGTCCTTGGTGGATAGTGAGCCCCTTGTCCTTGGTGGATAGTGAGCCTCTTGTCCTTGGTGGATAGTGAGCCTCTTGTCCTTGGTGGATAGTGAGCCTCTCGTCCTTGGTGGATAGTGAGCCTCTCGTCCTTGGTGGATAGTGTGCTTCTCGTCCTGTTTACTGGGCCTCGAGTAACGTCCATAAAGTGGATCCAGGTCTCGGTGTGCGTTGTAAATATTTCGTACAAAGTTTATAATGTTAAGTTTCTAAATAATCACTCCGCGCTGGTCATGTACACTGGAGGGTCTATGTCTCACGGCGGTTTGTGACTACACTCCACGGCTTATACGTTCACACTCCCATTCTCAGCTTCAGCCTTCAGCAGCCAGCACCTCGGGTACCGTTCGGTGTTGGTGTGAAGTACGCGAAGGAATACACAACACGTCATGTTCTTATGATTAGTACGGTAGTAGAGAAATAATACTAAACTAAGTAAGTCTTAGTTAGTTACAGTACCAAAACCAAAATATACTGTACACATATATACAGAAGTATCGCCACCTCTGTCGTAATTGGTTCAATGGATTCAGTTTGTTTCACTATTATCGAACCTTATAGAATCATTTTTTTTTAGAGACGAGAGCTAATACTTATATTCCCACACATATTCTACAACCTTCGTGTCTCCATATACAACATCCTGTCTCCATATCCTATATCCTACATGTCAAAATATACAACATCATGTCTCCATATCCTCCATCCTACGTGGCTCCGTATACAACATCCTACGTGGCTCCGTATACAACATCCTACGTGGCTCCGTATACATCCTACGTGGCTCCGTATACAACATCCTACGTGGCTCCGTATACAACATCCTACGTGGCTCCGTATACAACATCCTACGTGGCTCCGTATACAACATCCTACGTGTCTCCGTATACAACATCCTACGTGGCTCCGTATACAACATCCTACGTGGCTCCATAACTTTGAATCACTTGATCAATCTCCACCCCAGCTTATTTCACCTAAAGATTAACCACACTGTGCCCGGTGGGCTATTCCCCATAACAAAGTTAAGTTAGGTTAGGCTAGATTAGTGTTAAGGTGGTTAGGTTAAGTTAGGTTAGTATTAGGGTGGTTAATATTTAGGTTAGGTTAGGTTTGATTGCGTTAGATTAGGTTAGGGTGGTTAATCTTTAGGTACAATAAGCTTAGGTGGAGAATCTTGATGTGTAAGGATAGGCATTAGCATTATTCAGCTGGTATAATTTTCATTGCTGGAGTGTCCATGTAATGTTCAGTGCACGACATATTAAAACAAATTATTTTAAGTCGTGATAAGTTCAGAATAGTTTGCTCGTGAAGATATAAAATGATGATCTAAAGAATGTGTTCGTGAATCGCCCTCCCCCGGATGTTGTTGGTGGTGTGGGAGGGTAGAGGGGAGGGGGGAAGGAGGACGCAGAAGGGGGATAGGGAAGGAGGGGGGATAGGGTAGGAGGGGGGAGTTAGATGCGGTGGGGACGTCATGTTAACGTAACCTAGTGTTGTTATCTTTAATGTTTTTTGTGGATACATAAGTGGCTCTTGTTGGCAGGGAGACGAGCACTGCTACACGTAAAAGTTCTCTCTCTCAATAAACAATATTTTCCTCCATTGGACTCTGTGTAGTGTTCGTGGATATTCTAAAGTTGTTTTTGTTCTTTAACCAAGATGTGAACTTAAGCTGCATGAAGTGTGGTAGGAGGGTGGTCGGAGGGTGGTAGGAGGGTGGTCGGAGGGTGGTAGGAGGGTGGTCGGAGGGTGGTAGGAGGGTGGTAGGAGGGTGGTCGGAGGGTGGTAGGAGGTGATATACCTGTATATTGTACAGTCAGGGAAGAGTATTATGATTTTCCATTTATCATCTTCAACTCTCAAAGACTGCGTGCGTGCGTGCATGCGTGCGTGCGTGTGTATTTTCTATTAATAAAGGAAAGCACTGGCAGGTGTATAAAAAACCCACATCAATTATTTATCCACGTTTACAGGTATAATAACAGTCATGGCCGAAGAGACATGACCCAGCAGCAGTAGATTAATAATGATTACTATTAATAATGACTACAGCAGCTGGTGTGTTACAGACAACCTCATGTTCCGCTACCCCGGGGACTGTACCAAGTTCTACAAGTGCTCCAACACCATCCCTTACGTCATGAGTTGTCCAGCCGGGTTACACTTCAGCACCAACCATAATTACTGTGACTATCCTCCGCTGGCCAACTGTACCTCTATGTCACTCTAAGTTGACTGCATCTCCGTCGGTTCACATGATCACACTGGAAAGGATTAACAGGACCACTCGGAGTTGACTTTTCCAGTGAACTAACTGGACAGGATTCACTGTAATGTCCTTCACCGTCATCTCAAGAAAATTGGTCTTAATAAACTTCACCATCACATCAATAAATACTCCCTCGTCTACCACCCTAAACTAACTGCTTTTGATAGACTGTTCCGCCATCACGTAGCCTCCACACTGCCTCAAAATGCCAGATGCTCATTGTGCTCCTGGCGACTCGCCTCAGATAGTCACCTGAGTTGAGACACACTGACATAAACTGACAGAACAGATATCAATGTAATCGAGTCCAGTTATTGCTGCCTTCACCCTTGGATAATTGGGACACTACTGTAGTCTTAAATTTTATTAATTGGAACACTACTACAAGAAAACTCTGGCTAACCAAAACACTATTCTAGTTCTTGGGGAAAACGTTGGCGAAATGAAGCAATAATCTACTTCTTGGGGAAAACCTTGACAACCTGAAGCACCAATGTACCGCCCCATAACCAACACAAATGAGACGTGGTTACACTTCCTCGTTTACAATCACAATAACATAAGGAATTAGATTCTTCCTCTATATCTCGATAACTTACTTTATACACATATTAAATTATTATTATCAACTGTGTTTTTTTCTAAGCAAACTCATCCCAATCAACAACAAACAATGTGTCCATTTATAAATTAATACTGTATCCTACCGTAGCTATATTTTATTCCATAGTACTTAAATTAATATGAGTATTTGTATATGTTTCTTTCCTTCAACGTTGAAACACCTCAACTACTAAAAACTGAACCAATTTAAGAATTTATGAAAGTTTATTAACGTCAGGGAACGGTTATGGGCGACACATTAACCAAGTAGGTTTATTGTAATGTAACTAATTGTGACTATAACAGCTGGTGTGTTACAGACAACCTCATGTTCCACTACCCCGGAGACTGTACCAAGTTCTACATCTGCTCCAACAGCAAACGGTACACGATGAACTGCCCAGCTGGCCTACATTTCAGCGCCATGTATAAATATTGCGGCTACCCTCAGAAGGTCAACTGTACGTTACCTTGACGTGACTGTTATTTTCTCCAACCTCTGTGAACAAACTGGACTGGGATAACTGTACCTCTACTGTACACCATCTTGTGTTGACTGTATTCCCACCAACCATCAGGTGATCTAAATCGACTGGACTGACTGTAACACCAAGCCACCATCTTGATCAACCTTCACCTGTCAAAGCCCTGTTCACCGCCCTGAACCATCTGGTGTATTAGATTGTATTGCCATCATTAACTCTTGAAGTAACTACACCTCCAGGCTACTTCAGGATATAAATTTGTGTATTGGTCACGATACTAAATTACATGACAAACTAACTCATGAAACATAAAGTGATGACATTATCGAGCCAACACGTCCGGGCTTGGCTGACTGAAACGATATCTTAGATCTAGGTAAGATCTTACCTTACTTCAGACTCGTGAACAGTAGACATTAATGCGTTATTCTATCCGTAAATGCTTCTGATTCACGAGTCTGAATCTCAGGGTTCGTGGTTTAGGAGAAGAGGCGGCTGGACTTTTGTGGGTAACTGTAGTCACTCCAAAAGGCATCTTTACGGAGGGGTCCGATGAATTTGAAAATGAACACTGTGGCTCCTGTTGTCTCAGTAGGATTGTTAACATCCTTCGTCGGTTGTGTCATGTTGTCTCACGCAAAATCGTAAAGATACCTTTTGGTGTGACTGTACTTAATTTACATATTGGCCGTCCAATGCCAACAAGTTACGTTACCAGAAAACAACAGCTGTACCAAACTGAGGCAATAAATTATAACTAGTTTAAAACAAACGTACATCGCTTTATTGTCACAACATAATTCTTAAAAATTCTAGAGATTTTATTCTAATCAACTGTATCTTTATGACATTACAACGAGAACTTACAAATCATGTTTACGTTCATTTTGTAAGACATTATATATATATACGTTTTGATGATGAGTTTTGAGACCACTTGTAGGGGTTGAGTTGATAATTTATAAATTATAAGAATAACTTAAAGTGGAAACTGCATAAGCCAATCACAAAACAAGAAAAGATAAAGAGGAACTGAATAAGCCAATCACAAGTCAAGAAAATACAAAGGAGGTATTTTGAACACGACCCCTTTATCCCTCCACTAATTTATGGTCAGGTAAAGATATGGAACTTTGGCTTCAATTAAATTACTTCTATACTGAGGTGTGAGCAGACTGTGGCATATTAGAATTCAATTATATATCCTTGTGTTGATAGTAATGTCTGGTGTGTGTCGCGAGGTGCCCTCCATTACTCTGACTGGAAGGCCTTATTTTGGTAAGAGTTTCGGAAGTTACTGTTTAAGATGTATTTGGAATAAGCCTCCGAGTCCAGCATGTCTGTGGTACCCTCCTGCAGCATATTAACCCCCGGAGGACTTTTTTGTCCAGTAACAACAGCATCCTTTAGGTCCTTCTTCACCGACTTCTCTGGCACTTTGTTCCACTCCTGTTCCTTCCCCGAGGCATACAACAGGAAGAACAGAGCATCTACCACGAATATACCCGCGGAGATGAAAAATACCTTACGCCACTGACCAAACGTTTGCTGCAAAAGGAAAAAATAAATAAAACGTTCGTGTGAGGACGTTTTTAAGAGGAAGAGATGATCTGAATATTTTGATCAGGAGTGGAACATCACGTTTTCTTTTTTGCCAAGGGGAAAAATATTCTCTTTTTAAATGATTTTAGAACATCACTCCTTGTTGATATAAAGACAATTATAATTTTAGAACTTTCACTTCCTCTGTCACCTCCTACCTGGTTATTAGTAAGAGCACCAACAGTCATAGGAGCCACCCAGCCTGGGATAGTGGCAGCAGCGTTGGTGATACCGAAGAGCGTGCCAGCAAAATTCGGGGCGATGTCGACGTGGTTGACCATAAACCCCGTGTAGATGCCACCCTGTAGAGTGACTGCTGTGAAGAGCAACGCAATAGTCGCCCCTCTGTTACACTCGACTAAGGAAAGGCACAGCAGACAGATAGCCGGGCCAACGTGAGCTATCGTAAACATAAGCCAGTTTAGATAGATAGATAGACAGACAGTTTGACAAATCCTAAAGAAAAAAATAATCTGAAACATACGTAAAAAAAATCATTCAAAATAAGCAGAGTTCTCAGCCACTGCTGTTGGTCGGCCAGTCTGACTAACCCACACACGCATGACCACCCACATACTGTAGGTTCTCATTAGAAGACACAGAGACCAGGAATAAGTCAACTTCCCCCGTTTATAACTTCCTTTGAGCTATATAATAATGATAGATGGACAAGGGATGATACTGTTCTTTTGGTTCCTCATGAAGACGGGGCAGTAGTAAGGTTAGGTTAGGTTAGGTTTGTATAAGCTTACCGATGGTGTTGGCAGTCTTCCTGACAGTCTGGGTGGAGAGGGTGTCATTCTGCCTCAGTCTATCGCCCACGGAGCTCACCACCAGACTGAAGATCCACATTCCCAGATAAGGCAGACCACTCAACACCGCGTTCTGTAAGACACTGTATCACTCAACACCGCGTTCTGTAAGACACTGTATCACTCAACACCGCGTTCTGTAAGACACTGTATCACTCAACACTTTTATTATCATTATTATTATTATTATCAGGGTCGTCCCTAGGAGGGTGCGGGGCCCGGGGCAACTCAGCCACTGCGGGGCCCCACACTAGTGTCAGGTTATGCGGTCAGAGGAACCCACCCCCACCAACCCCCATGGGACTGTCGCTATGGATGGTAAGGTCACGGTTGCGATGGTGGCATAAGCCGTCAGGTCAGATTAACCAGTCAACAGGTAATGTGTCCAAGGTCACTGGGTCTAGTGCTGGCCCCCGCGGGGCCCCGGGCGGTCGCCCCTGTTCGCCCCCCCTAAAGGACGGGCCTGATTATTATCATTATTATTATCATTGTTATTATTATTATTATTATTATTATTATTATTATTATTATTATTATCATCATCATTTTCCAACAAGCACACTATTTATCGTTGTAACTATGGCAACAAAGATACACCTACCGACTTAATGTCTTTTTGTAGCATCTGCTTCATGTAGAGCGGGAGGTCAGTCAGCAGGGTGTAGAAGCCCCAGTTGTTTCCCACCCCGGCCACCAGGATAGCCCAGAACGGTAGTGACGTCAGGGCCGACCTCCAGGGTACTGGGGGAGCCTAGAGGGTGATAATAATGTTGAATGAATATGATAGAACGATGGTTAATGTTGAATGAGCATGATAGAGTAATAACAAATGGTGCATGAGCATGATAGAGGAGTAACTAATGTTGAATGAGCATGATAAGAAATGATTAATGTTTAAAGACAATTTTATAAACTTTTCCGGATATTAGACGCTTTTATTATAACCGTATTTAAAGGTTCTAATTCGTACTGTTAGTGTATATTTGAGCGAGTGCAATGAGACCTATTTAACAGTCTATACTGGAGAGTGCTGTCCGTTATACCGCAGTTCGTTAAATGCGAAACCTCCATATAATGGACTAAACATGTTGAACTGATGTCCGTTAAGTAGAAGTTTTATCATGTTAGGGACTATACAGACAGGCACCACTGGTTAAGGTTATTTATGTCGAAAAGTCAAGGTGAGATCCCGGGGTGCCCACAGATTGTGGCGTCTGTTTGTTTATCGAGAACACGTAGAGTCGTAAACGATGTCTCTAATGTGTTCTATGAGATGAGATTCTCCAACTCACCTTCTTCTCCTTGCTGCCTCCTAGTGAGTTATAGATGTAGTCTCTCTCAACCTTGGAGATGCGGGAGTCAGAATCAGGAGTGTCAGCTACTAGGAGGAACCAGCCGGCACACCAGACCAGCGTGAGACTTGCCTGGATATAGAAAACAGCCTCCCACCCCAGTGAGTCTATGATGGTGGCGGCCAGAGGGAAGCCGATGATGGTACCAGCCTGTGACCCTGAAGGAGGAGAAAGAGGAGGAGGGCCGTTTTAGAGAACAAGGGCGGAGATAATAGGAGTGAAGGACAAGTTACCAAGATGGTTTGAAGTAAGTACAGTATAGGATGGCGTTGCTGTATACCACTGTTTGTGTACAATACGCCATGCATCATCTACGTACACCACAGGTGTACACTATGTACAAACACCGACAAAAACTCCTGTTGCCTCTCCTGCTGTTCCACAAACCCCGAGATTCAGATTCGTGAACCCGAAGTAGTAGAAAGCTTTGCCTTCTTCATTTTCCATCTTCTTACAATCTGTCTCACTTCAAAAAGCTGTTTCCCGGCATCTTCCTGGTGTAGATTAACATACTCTTTTTCTCTTCTATTTTTTTTATTTTTGTACTCATACTTTTTCGCCCCCCAGGCCCCGTTGTGGGTCGATGACCTGTGCCCAGGTAGGCTAATCCCCATAAAAATAGACACCAGTGCATTATACAAAGACTATGCTGCCTTTCTTTAAATCATCTCTTAAAAAGTATTTATTGTCTAGGTATTAATATTCTTGTAATACCTAATTTGTGTTCCTGCTTATGTTGTACCGCCAAAACCATTATATAAATGATTGTCATGAAGATAGATGGGAACTACCATTGCAATAATTATAGTTGCCGACTAGACATGAGGCTAACAGCTCTGTCTTGCTCCACCTTAATACAACCCATGTCGTACTACTTCCCTCTCTTATCATATGTATGTGATAGGCGTGATAACATTCTGATATTGTCCTTACTACCACCATGTTACATAATACTTCCTTGAGATAAATGTCCAGTATATACCAGTTGCCTTCAAGAGAGCTCAGGCTCTCAACTGGCTCAGCTGTGTTAATATTGTTATTATTATCAACTCCGTATATGTGTTTTTTTTTGGCTAAAAAAACTGTTTTAATATCAATAAATGCTTCGTATTCATGCGTTTGAATCTCGGGGTTCGTGGTTTAGGAAGAGGGGCCACAGGAATTTTGTTAGTGACCGTCCATTATATACCTACTCAGTCTATGTAAAATTCCTATCCACCATACTGTAAGATTGTCCAGTTATGACAGAATTAGTGAGACGTGTACGAGTGTCAGTCTCACCAGCGTAGATGATGGTGGAGAGAGTGGAGCGTTCGTATGGTGGCGCCCAGGTGGCCAAGAGGGCGTGGGTGGACGGGAAGGTAGCACCCTGGTGGAGACAAAATCAACCATTTAACCAACACTCATTCAACATTCTATAACCATTGACTACTCCAAAAGTCTCTAGAGATGCTGAATCATGTAAATCAGACTAAAAAGGCTTAACCTCCCTTCAGAACAACTTGAATCACCTCAGATAGCCCCAGTAAAATCCTGACAGCGATGAGGGTAGAGGCACTGGACTTAGCAGCGAGAGGTACGAACATGGTGACGATGGAAGCAGATAAAATGGCCCCACCAAATACTCGGCGAGCACCCAACACCTCCGCTAGCCGTCCTCCTGCCGGGGTAAACCAATGCCAGGGAGTTACAGAGATAAAACAGTTGTCTCCAAAACTAAAATAAAAAAGTAACCATCAGATTCTTTACATACTGAAAAGGGTCGATGCGGTTCAAACAGTTTCTCGAAAAATTCTTTGAAAAAAGATATCCATAAATGTTTCTAACTTGTGTCTAACTCACAGAGAAACAGACAGATGGACAGGTGCAGGTAGACATGGAAATTAACTAACAGTAAGACAGACAAACGGAGACAGGGACGTGTCCACATGCCAGTGGGCATATGCGCCGTCCCTTTTGTGCCCACTGCTGCTCCGAGATCCCCTGCTGGTCTAGTCTGGGCCCATGAGGAATCCAGTTACCGTGTATTGCCACGAGGAGGCACAGCAGGAGTCTTGATTTGTGAAGAAGCTGTGTACTGCCAGGTGAAGACTTGTGCATGTTGCTTCCCTGTTCACCACGAGGGCTAGCCGAGAGGGAGCATGCAATGCTTGTACCTTAACACTAACATAATAATGCCACGCTAGACGCATTATATCATCCTGTGTACACACACACAAACACACCATACAGATACACACGCATACAGACATACAGACATACAAAGAGACAAACATACAGGCACAGACATACAGAGAGAGACAAAAAACATGGAGACAGAGATAGACATATAGACACACAGACATACAGAGACAAACAGACACACACTCAGCTCACCGGGTATCTGCGTCCATATGTAACCCCAGAAGAAGGATCCAGTAATAAGACCTTGTGTCCACTCGTCCCAGTCGAACTCCCCATCCTGTGGTGCAGCAAGGTGTGAGAGTGATGTTAGAAATGTGTGAAAGTGGTGGTGGAAAGGTGTGACAGTGGTGGTGGGATGGCGTGAGAATGGTGGTGGAAATGTATGAAAGTGGTGGTGAAAAATGAGAGAGTGATGGAGGAAATGTGAGAAAGGGGAAGGAAATGTGTGTGAGTGGTAGTGGGAATGTGCGACAGGAATTTCACTGATAATAAAGAAATGCAAGAGGTGTGAAAGTGAGGCGATTGACGTTAAGAGCATTAGTTTTATGACAATGTGTGGCAGTCTGTGAAAGGGTGTGACTGAGCGTGCGAAAGTGTGGCAGTGTGTAAAAGGGTGTAACAGCGGGTGTGTGAAAGAGTGTGACAGCTTGTGTAAAAGGGTGTGACTGGGCGTATAAAAGGGGTGTGACTGAGTGTGTGAAGGGTGCGATAGAGAGTAAAAAGGTGTGACTGAGTATGTGAAAGGTGTGACTGAGTGTGAGAAAGGGTGTGACAGTGTGTAAAAGGGTGTGACTGTAGGGTGTGTGAATAGTGACAGTCTAGATTGCAAGTCAACAGCTCAGGTATTTAATCTCTTTAATAAAAATAAATCTCATTCAGTCACACTAACAAAAGTAACTCACAACGCCTAATTATACTAACACTGTAGGCACTAACCACCATCAATCACTCTCCTTATTACAAAGAAAATTTAAATAAGGCGGTGTTTTTTTCTTCGTATTGTTAAGTTTCCTTTCACTCATGTTTACACTCGCCTTTAATCTTCATTGTTCTGATTATAAACACGCACTTTCAGACATCTTCATTTCTAATCGTGTTTACTAATCAATGACGTCAAAATCTGGGTTTGCATATTATTATCAGTGCAGGACAAAGACTCGTTCTACCTGAAGGTCAGATAGAATGCCTTGCGATATTTTCTCCGGTTTCAACAATTTCTGCAGTGTTATTATTGCGTTTACCTCCCCACATCACCATAGTACAGTAAGCATATTTTACTCACCAATATATTTTAGGCTTTTTAAATATGTTATTAACAAGATGTATACGAGTATGTTGCATGAAATGTGGCGTTTGATGCTTTTTATAAGGGGGCAATAACGCATCTCAATAGTTGTTTTTATCTGTCTGGTTTAAATAATGTCATCATATAAGTTTTAGTGAAGCAATAATATACACTAGACTGGTGACTGTTTACTTCACCACCCTGTATACAGTTGTACTGTACTTGGAAACGACGCGACGGCTGTGACTCTCTGGTTAAATTAGACTTCCTGGTGGAACAACAATATTTTGATCACACACTGAACCATGTCAACACTGTGCAGGAGATCCTGTCTATCGGACCCCAGTGTAAACACACCCTGCATTACACTCATACCTGAAACTCATATAATCGTAATTACTACACATGTTATAAATTTTTCTCGACCGCCTTCACTTTCTCATTAACATCCAGGTCGACTAGGGGTGCCCTGGGCACTAATACTTACTTACTAAAATATGCTACGTGCACAGCTGGTATGACGTCATGTAAAAGTGAGTCACAAGATACAGGTGTTTCTGCCTACACTTACATAGTCCTCTGTTTGGTCGTTGTCGTCCTTGAAGTGGCAGACGTCTTGGACCGGGCTGGTGGAGTTGTCGTTGGTCACCATGGCCACGATGGTCAGGTTGATGTTCACCCGCAGCATGTAATTGAACACCATCCCCAGGAACGCCATCAACGCCACCAGGTACCTGGACGGCAGATATCCTGAGGACGACCGTGATAGGAATTAATAGTGTTATACTGTGCAGCTGGACATCGTACACAGAGGAGCCAGTCTTGCTATTATGTAAAGTTATACAGTTAAAGGAGAGGGGCATATAATGCATGAGAGGTTCATTCACTGTCACGGGGATATGAAGACACAAACTTATTTCACTCACCCTGTTCCTTAAGGGTAGGTGGCTTCATGGTCGGGTCACAAGCTAACAAGAAGATGCACAAATCTGAGACGAACTCCGGCAGTATTTCCTTCGTTCTCAAGTAAACATCGGCAGCTCCCCAGACCAAATCTCCTCAATCTCCAGACAGTCACGGTAACAGGGGATTTTTTTTCTTCAATACAGTAATGAATACTTTAATATACTATATCTTTGTGTTTTGGTGGATGTTGTGTGTTAATTGTGTCTCGCTATATTTTGGCATTTTGTTGCTGTCTCATGTTGTCGTCAGAGAGATGGGAGACTCGTTAATAAATTGTGTAGCCAGTCGTTTCGTTCTCATTGACTTGGCTCCTCTATACATGACATGACCGAACACTGAACCTTCAGAAAAACAAGACGACCCTCACACCTTACATTCTTACAACACGAAACGATCATATCCGAACAGCCAATCTTTCAAATAGTTTATTTTTCCGAACACCCCACCTCCGGTAAAGTTGATTTCTCAATTAGATAATCTTTCTTACATTTAACTAACCGAACACTTGGACTCTCGAAAAATAAATTGCATTCAAACAGCTGATTGACTTCTAAACAGCTGATCCACCACAACAACTGACATTTGAAGCTTCGATCCTTGACGTAGTTGATCCCGCCTACAGTTAACTTGAACACAGCTGGCACTCTGAACAGTTGAACTGACGCAAAATGATCCTCCAAACAGATGACTGGACACAGAACTGATCCTCCAAACAGCTGACTGGACACAGAACTGATCCTCCAAACAGCTGACTAGAGACACAGAACTGATCCTCCAAACAGCTGACTGGACACAGAACTGATCCTCCAAACAGATGACTGGACACAGAACTGATCCTCCAAACAGATGACTCGACACAGAACTGATCCTCCAAACAGATGACTCGACACAGAACTGATCCTCCAAACAGATGACTGGACACAGAACTGATCCTCCAAACAGCTGACTAGAGACACAGAACTGATCCTCCAAACAGCTGACTAGAGACAGCCAATTTTCCCGGGAGCAGGTGATCGGGCAGGAGGTAGACCAAGGTGAGCTCTGAACTATAGGAGTATCTGGACCATTATGTTGAGGTCACATATGGAACCTGATATGATTACTACCCTGGAAGATAGCCCGACCACACACCTACCGCAGATAAACTCGTTGTATCATCACCTGATATATGAGAAAGATTAGGCTAGATCTAATCGATGACTTGAAGTATCTTATTTGTAACCTTTAACCAGGGCCGTCCCTAGGGGGGTGCGGGGCCCGGGGCAACTCAGCCACTGCGGGGCCCCACCAACCCCCATGGGACTGTCGCTGTGGATGGTAAGGTCACGGTTGCGATGGTGGCGTAAGCCGTCAGGTCAGATTAACCAGTCAACAGGTAATGTGTCCGAGGTCACTGGGTCTAATGCTGGGCCCCGCGGGGCCCCGGGCGGTCGCCCCTGTTCGCCCCCCCTAAAGGACGGGTCTGCCTTTGACTACCAATCTGGGATGATATAGAGAATCATAGGGGATAAATCTATATGTTAATAGGGTGTCTATATGTGTGTGTACATAAGAATGGGGGAAACTACAGCTCATATATCCATCCAACCTACAGTATATTTAAAGTTCCCAGCGTGTTAGAGATAACGATGATGTTTGGTAACATGTTCCACTCATTCACTATTCTATTTCCAAAGCATTATTTATCTACATTGCTCCTAAATCTAAATTTGTCTACTTCAAAACCAGTGACCCCGAATTCGCTCCTGGTTGGATAGTTTGAGTACCTTTGTTATATCACATTTGTTTAACCCTGACTTCCATTTATACACCGTGATCATATCGCCCCCCACTCTACAGTACGTCTCTCGAGGGAGTGCAAATTAAGATGCTTTAACCTGTCTCTGTACTCGAGGTTCCTAATGCCCGGGATTAGTCTTGTCACCCTTCTCTGAATACTTTCTTGGGAATCCATATCCATTCTGTAGTACGGTGACCAAAACTGAACCGCCAAAATCTAAGTAAGGTCTCACTAGCGCAAGATATAGTTTTCGAATGTACAGCAGACGTTGATAGTGTCTCTGTTAGGGTTGCCATATCTGAACATTCAAAAAAGAGGACGCTCCCGAAGACATCCTCCCCCCCCCGCCCGGCACACACAGGCTAATATACAACATACATGGTATAGAAATCTTAAAAAAAATTACCTTTGCTTAAGGCTGAACATCTTCATTCCCTTAGCTGCAGTCTTCTTCCCTCACTGTGTGTGTGACTTGATGTGCCCATGCATACTTTTCTGTAGATCGGATCTTTTTCAGTATTGGCTGATTGCTCTTTAGAAATGTATAGAAGTCACTGCAAGGTGTTTCTCGGAAGTTGTACTGTACAGTCAGAATGCCTTTCATTGTTTCAACACTCAATTTGTTCCTTTCCTTTGTCCATTGACTTTGCATCAGTGAATAAACTCTTTCTACATTTGCATTGTGACATGATATAGCAAAGAAGAATTGTGCAATTCTTAGCAATTCTGAGTGGCATTCAATGTTCTTTGATTTTTCAAAGTATCTGGTCCACTTTTTATGTGTTGGCAGATTACTAAATTCTTCATCACTTGTAATTTTCCACAAACTGCTTCAGGTTACTAACTTGGTCAAAACACTTCATCAACTTCTACCCCCTTATCAATCAAATATTTGACAGCTAAGTTGACAACACCTACAGGCGTACAAGTGACTTATCAGCTGACGAAAACTGAACGAGATCTCTACGGTTTCCACCTCCCCTCTCTCTGTCTCTCTCTCCCGTCATTACAGTTTCATGTTTTTTTTCCGTGGAGAAAATGATGGAAGCTGAAATTCCGGACTCTTGAAGAATTTTAAAAATTCCTTCCGGATGAAGATTTCGAGACCTAAATGGAGGACATGTCCGGGAAAATACGGACGTATGGCAACCCTAGTCTCTGTATAAGATGTCACTTAAACAGTGTGCAAATACTCGTATTCACCTGGATATAGAGGATACGTGCAACCTCCTCTAACCTGTTAGGTTAATTAACACTGATGCTGTTTGTCTATTGTTTATATTACATTTATTTATGATCTTAGTCCTATAAAGAGAATAAAGAGAGAAGTTTATAGACCTTGAAGTTATCGCTCTATCACAATGATGGTTCAAAATGCATGATAAGGTTGTAAGTTCCTCGTTAATAGGTAGAGATAAATTGATGGTGAACTGGTAATAGGCCTGTAGTGGATCTCTCCCCTACAAGTTGTAGGCTACAACTGCGTAGCTGCTCACGGGGGTCGCCACTTGCGACGTTTGCTCTAGCAACAGAGCCCATCAACCGGCGAGTTCCCGCGGGTTTACTTCAGGCTGCTGTGTATATAAGCTCTCAGTCTCTCCATTGAGATGCATTCTACCCTACGTTCCTGAACACCAACACCTCCTCCGAGCAAGCTCCTCGCTGTCCTCCAGCTCTCATTCAACCTGGAGGACAGCAACACGCAACATCTCTAACGAAGCTCCTGCACAGATACCTCCTCAAGCATGCTACTCACTGAACGTGTCTCTTGAGCAAACTTCTCACCACACGGCATCTCCAGGACCAGACTGTCTTGTATATAATATATTTTATATAAGAAAACCACCACCTAGAGGGAAATTACAATGGGATGAGGGAAGAGATGAGGGGTACCAACTGGTCTGACTTATTAGCTATAAGAACGCAGACACCACGCTGAATATCATAACTAGTAAAATGACCCATTTGATCGATAAATATATACCCAAGACCAAACCCAGTGCTTCTAGGAATACGAGGGGATCCCTACACATGAACCATGCGGCGGTCGACAAAATTAAGAAGAAAACCCAGAAATTCAAGACGTGGGTTGGGTCAAACGATGAGCAAGACAGGAGGATGTATGCAAGAGCCAGAAACCAAGCAAAGATAGAGTGTAGGAGGGCTGAAAAGGAGTTCCAGAGGCTGGTTGCAAGCGAGGTCAAGTCAAACTCTAAGGCGTTTTACCGCTATGCAAAGTCGAAATTGAAAACGCGAATAGGAGTATCAGACCTGAGGCTGGTGGATGGTAGTTATGCAGATTCTGACCAGGATAAAGCTGAGAATCTGAACAGCTTCTTTTACTCAGAGAGGATGCAACTAACCTACCTGCGTTTCAGGACAGACGGTTCGACGCAGCACTGACCCACATTGTGTTCACAGAAGAGGGTATTAGAAATAAACTGTCCAGGCTAAAGGTCCATAAGAGTCCTGGACCTGACATGGTGCATCCTAGAGTGCTAAGAGAGTTGTGCAACGAGCTTGCAGAGCCCCTGAAGATACTGTTTTGTAAATGCCTGGGTGAACAAATGGTCCCCAGTGAATGGAAAGTAGCTTATGTGATTCCTATCTTCAAGAAGGGCGATCGTCACTCCACGAACAACTATAGACCGGTGAGCCTGACCAGCATAATATGTAAAGTACTTGAGAGTATTAGCAGAGATGTCGCAATGGAACATCTAATACGAAACAACCTTGAAAACGATTGCCAACACGGTTTTATGCCGGGGCGCTCTTGCTTAACACAATTGCTCAAGGTATTGGATATTTGGACCCATATTCTGGAACAGGGTGGTAATATCGACAATATTTACCTAGATTTTGCCAAGGCTTTCAACAGTGTACCCCACGAAAGGCTGACAATCAAACTGGAAGAGTACGGAATTCGGGGAAATGTCCTAGCGTGGATAGAAGACTTTCTACATGACAACAAGCCGTGTCAGGTGATTAATGGTACGAAATCGTCATTTGTACCTGTCACAAGTGGGGTACCACAGGGCAGTGTATTGGGCCCGCTGTTGTTTGTTTGTTTCATAAATGACATGCCTGACGTTGTACACCCCTCCATACAAATGTTTGCCGATGATGGCAAGTTATTTCGGGAAATTAAGAACCAAGCGGACTGTGAAGAGCTGCAGAAGGACCTCTGTGGGCTCCAGGAATGGTCGAAGAAATGGCTGCTGAGATTCATTGTCACGAAGTGTAAGAGGATGCACCTGGGGCGTACCAACGGTAAGGAGGCGTATCATATGTCCCAACTGAATGTGAGAAGTACCTAAGTGTGTATGTTGACAATGTGCTGAAGTTCTCGGGCCATTGTGAGAAGAAGGTAAATCAGGCAAATAAATTATTGGGTCTTATAAGAAGGTCGTTCATATATCTAGACGGTCCGTCCCTCGTAACGATCTTCAGGAGTGAAGTGCTTCCCCATCTGGAGTTCTGTCACCCCGTCTGGTCCCCGAGATATGCTAGGGACTGTCAGTTGGTTGAAAATGTTCAAAGGAGGGCCACCAGACTGGTGCCTGCACTTCGGCACCTCAGCTACCCTGAAAGATTGGAGCGCCTGAACCTGCCTAGCTTATGCTACAGACGGGCAAGGGGGGACCTAGTTGAGGTGTATAAGCATCTCAGGGGGCACTACTCAGTTGAGTGTCCTTACTTGGAGCTGCTGGACGCTCGCCCCACAAGGGGTCACAGCTCAAGATTGAAAAAGCCTCAAGTTCAGAAAACCGTGAGGGCAAACTTTTTCGGAGTGAGGGTTGTAAACTCTTGGAACAATCTACCACAGAGTGTTGTGACGGCACCGAGTGTGAGCTCTTTCAAGACAAGACTTGACCAACACTGGAGCGGGTTCAGGTACATTCAGGAGCCGGTGCATGCCCAGTATTTGCCAACAGTGCGTGACAGAGACGTGACCGATCGCCCAGGCGGCTAGCGAGCCGATCTTTTGGTGAAGAGGATAAATGAAAAGTAATCAGAGACGTGACCGATCGCCCAAGCGGCTAACAAGCCGATCAGTGGCGAAGAGGATAAAAGAAAAGTCTGGAACTGTTAGGAAAGAGAATGACATAATTAAAGACAACGGTTATAATTATAAGCTGCCTCAGTCGTACCAAAATTTGGTCAAATTATGTATTTTTGAGTCCCAAAGTCAGTACACAGACAAAATTTTTATCTGTAATTCACTTTACAATGGCTGGCAAGATTAGAAATGAGTGTTTTGTGGTGCTGAGAAGAAAAAGAGACCCAAATTTTCGATTTTCTATGTGTTATTTAAGCATTTCCGACTTACGACCATTTCGACTTACGACCTGGATGTCAGTCCCTAACCCCGTTGTAAGTCGGGGAGTACCTAGTATAATACAGTTTTTCGTGAAGTAAGGCTGTATGCAGTGTAAGTAATGAGAATTGTGATTGGTGAAGCTATTTTTATAATAATATATGTACTATAATAATAAACTATGTTCGTATA